TATGTTCCATGATCACCATCTCTATGCGCAACCATGCCTTATAACCATAAGTGATCTAGGGATTTTATCTTAAGTGCAATTATAAGATAAATGCTTTCTCTTAAGATAAAGAAATGCCTTATTCATAATATAATTCCAATAGACTGTATTTACAAGTAGAATACGTCCAATTAGATTGGAACGCCGGGTACCCTACTCTAACACTTCCTTTGCTTTTCAATTGCTCCTCTTGTGTGTTTTTGGCCTTTTTTTACGTGTGTCCCCTCTTTTTCCTCTCAAACTAGGTTAAATATGCCTCATTTTGTGTCCAAAAACCCTTCTCCTCATCAAAATAGGCAATTATTAAAAAGATGTTTCTGCACGTGACACGGCCACACGGCCCGTGTCGCAGACCGTGTCACATGTAATGCCTCGGTATGCGTCTGTTGTCGTGACACGACCGCTGACACGGTCATGGTGCCCGTGTCACATCCCAGCACACTCGTTTTTGTCCGTTTCACTCGTTTCTTCCGTTTTCTTCATCCGTGCATCAATCCATCATCATCTCGGGGGTCCTAGGTACTCACCATGCATCTCCAATAGCCAACAAGCTCTAGAAATATATGGAACTATCTACAAAACAAGCACGTGTAATACCTTTCCAACAAATAGAGAATTAAAGCACAAATATGCAATTTATACACCAATAATGCAATGACTAAGCTCTAGATACTCAATAAATATGGTGTAAAATCACACATGAACAAACCCCCAAACTTGAACCATTGATAGTCCCAATCAATGCATCAAACTCCTACCAACACACAAGGAAAAACAATCACACTCTCAAAGTCAATCATACACATTCTCAATATGCATCGGGCAAATAACATAACTAAGTTCCAGAATTTTTAAACATAAAGAATGCTTCATCAAAATCATGGTCAATGTATAATTCACAAACCTCACCGGATAAGTGTATACTCTCACTCTCAATAGTGTATAGGGAAATGATCGCTCAAATCAATTCAATGCTGAAGAATTACCATAAGCTTGCAAATCGTCTACTATCTCCACCACTTATTGTGCGTGCAATTTATGAATCAAAAAGGACTTGCGTTTGGTTGTAATGTAGGCTCTTTGGTTAGGGTAGGAAAAAATATGGATAAAGTGACGAAAACTCGAGCATCTAGAACTACAAAACATGAACTTCACCAATTCATCACCTACCAATCAGGATCAAGCTCAACAAAATCATTCCATACCCCATTTCGATCAATACTCGCAAGCCATATAAAAATTCAGTTTTTTCAGCCTTTTTTTTCAGTTTTTTTTTTCATATAATCTTTTTTTTTTCGACTCTATCAACCTCATTCAACTTCCCTCATCAACTTACACTCCCATTCGCGTCTTTCCTTTATCCACACCACAAACAATACACTCATCCTCTGCACATAATATAATCCTAAATGCTCAAGTAAGGACAAGGAAAAATATAGATGTAGCTCAATATGTGGCATTCAAAGAAAATAGGCAAAAGCTCAAAAGGGTTAACTAGGGAATAAAAATATCATTTGGTAAGCTAAAAGGTAAAAAAGGCTCAAACAAAAATATGCCTTAGATCATTTTCACAAAAATGCACACACCATGTGATTTCGATAAAGATACCAATGCAAGTTCTAGAATTCCAACAACAATGAACGATACACTCAATCAAAAAATAAGGCTCGAAATCTCACAAACGGTCATATATTCATGAATTAAAAACATCAACCAATCATTCAAATTCACAATTCCATCAATTCTCAAATTCCTTTGCTTAGCACATCATGCCCGAATTATATATCAAATATGCACAAGAAACTCATCAAGGTGGATCAAAGTCAACCAGCTACAACTACTCAAATCCTAAGAAAGCAATAAACGTGCTAAAGCAATAAACCTAACATGCAACTAAATGATATGCAAAAATGATGTGTTTCTTGAATCCTCTAAAATAACTCCCCCAAACTTAAATGAAATTCTATGAAACACAATGAGAGAAATAGAAATTCATATCTAAGGATCAAGAAACACTCACAAAACCTCATTGAGGCGGTGGGCCAAAATGGCCCTCATCCATGTGCCATTGATGCATTTGACGAATCATCGCCATCATCTCTCTTTGGTCCGCTCTCATCCCCATCATCTCATTCTCCAATTTCGTCATCCGCGCTCTTAAGCTCAAAGGAGGAGGAAAAACAAGCCTCTCGACTCCTTGAGTAGAGCTCTCCGGGATATCCATGTGATCATCCCCATCATGGTCATAAGCTTCTTCCTCCTCAACTCTTTGTCGGACATCATCTTCACTCGGGTGCTCCTCAACCCTTTGTCGGACATTCCTTTGCGATCCTCCGACCGCCCTTCCAAATTCCGCTTGCACCTCATTGATGGCGACGGAATGCTCCTCGCTCCACATCTTAATATTTGTCACGTCGTTGTCACTCTCGATCGTGGTCAAATGGGTGTTCGGTAATGGAAAGTGGTCATGAGCCCGTTGCAACAACAAATATCGGCCGGCTTCTTGGCGTACAAAATTCATTGTCTCGAGAGCGGCCATGTTAATAGAAGGGGTAGCACCGACGGGAGTCGTCGTGCTCAAGTCAACCCCACAATAAGTAGTGATGGGTGTGATCATGCCACCCACACAAATTTGGCCCGACTCCGAAATAGCCGCTTCCCATAAATGAGTTGCCACCCATTTCCCGGTAAGCACGGGCCTATTTTTTAGCATGCACCATATAGCCGTGAGCTCACGAAGAGAACATCCGCCCATCTCTCCTCGCGCAAAGATAGTGCTTGCAACGGCCTTTTGTAAATACCGCAACACGGGATTGCGGATCGAGGTTGCCTTCGCGGACTTCGGAATGAACCTCGGAGCGGGATTAGACGATGTCCCAGCAATCAAATTCCAAACATCATGAGCATTAGCGGACGAGCGAATAATCGGGTCTTCCGAGGCTCGATAAACCTCCTTCGCTAAATTTTGGACATCGAGCGTGTAGTCTCGATTTTTAAGCCGAAACTTCAATGTCCTCACCATGTGGTCATACTCTGACTTCTCGACCTCCAAAGTGCTAAGGAACTCCATAGTAATGATGGCGTAGGTTGGCCATTTTTGCGTCATTAAGTACTCCCACCCGGCTCGTCGAACGAGCTTCCACACATCATCGTGAAGGCCAAGAGCTACAAGAGCCTCGTCATCCATATACCGGGTTGCTACCATACGCAAGTTCGATAACTTTTTCCACCTTGCCTTTTCATCGGCCGTTTTCAAGCGAACGTTAAAACTTCCCGGTTGTATAGCCGCGTTTGGTATAACATTAGCATCTGATCCCCTTCCTCAGCCTCTACCTCCCGAATTTCTTCCACGATTCATCTTAACCTGAGACAAATAGATAATTGACCCAAATTAATCATAAGATATACCATTCCAATATAACAATCACATTAACCCTACAAAACCTATGCAAGAGTACTCCATTGCCACAAAGTTTTTCCAATTATCCTCTAAACAAGCCAATTATCGATCATAGCATCATGCCAAAGGACTTAAGAGTATAAATCAAACACAATTCAAGCACAAATTCACCAAGAACTCAAATGCAAAGGTGCCCACCACGTGTTCGACAATTCGCTCAAACCAACTCTTTCAAATAAACTCAACAAAACTAATCACACAAGAACACCATAGCATCAAACAACACAATAGCTCCACATTAAGTGATAATTACGACTAACACATACCAAAATTGTGGAGAGAATGTGAAATGCCTAGCCTCTTTCCTAGGAGAGTTCAAAGCTCTAAAGTCCCAAAAAGAGAGAAAGAATTGTACAATTATGGACTAGTGATAATAAGTGAACAATTATGATGTAAATTTGATGTGAAGAGGCTGTAAAATTTCGAGATTAGCAAAGAGGATTTGTGAGCTAGGGTTAGAGAAGAAAAGGGCCGAAAGTTTTGTGAAGAAAAGTGAGAGGGAATGTGTTTTTAAAAACGCTGCTGTCGTGACATGGGCCGTGACACGGTCACCTTACCCGTGTCGCTGTCCGTGTCACATCTCCTGGAACCAGTTACATCGACACGGGTCATGACACGGTCATTGTGCCCGTGTCGATGCCCGTGTCACACCCCTGGGCTACTGCTGCCTCAGCTATTGCGACACGGTCGATGACACGGTCACACTTCCCGTGTCGTCTCCCGTGTCGCACCTTTGGGACCATTTTTTTTTTCAAAAGAAAACAAACCTAGGAAAAATAAATCAATAAAATGAAAACTACTCTAATAAAATAAAATAAAACAAAATAACAAAAAAAAAAACGATAAAACCGTTGGGTTGCCTCCCAACTAGCGCTAAGTTTAACGTCTTCAGCCAGATGCCTGTCAAATTCGATCACGGCTCCTTCAAAGTCATGTAGGACAACTTCTCATTTTGAGATGGATGAAAATAGTGCTTGATTCGTTGTCCGTTGACTACAAAGGTCTCTCCATCTCGTGCAACCAATTCAACTGCTCCCGGCGGCAACACCTTCTTAATCACGAAAGGCCCCGACCATCTCGATTTCAATTTTCCAGGGAACAACTTCAATCGTGAGTTAAATAAAAGAACTTGTTGTCCCGGGACAAATTCCCTATTGTGAATCATCCGGTCATGCCACCTCTTAGTTCGCTCTTTATAAATTCTCGAATTCTCATAACAATCATCTCGCCATTCCTCCAACTCATTAAGTTTAAGAAGCCTTGTCTTTCCCGCCTCGTGAAAATCAAGATTAATCTTTTTCACAGCCCATAATGCTCGATGCTCTAACTCAACCGGGAGATGACACGACTTATCGAAAACAAGTATGTACGGTGACGAACCCAATGGAGTCTTATATGCCGTGCGATAAGCCCAAAGTGCATCATCTAGCTTCAACGACCAATCCTTCCGATTCGTGCTAACCGTCTTCTCCAACATGTGCTTGATTTCTCGGTTCGCTACCTCCGCTTGTCCGTTTGCTTGCGGGTGATATGCTAAGGCCACTTTATGCTTGACGCCATACTTCGAAAGAAGTCTCTCCATCAACTTATTCACAAAGTGAGACCCCCCATCGCTAATTAAAGCTCTAGGAGTTCCAAACCGAGTGAAAATATTCTTCTTGAGAAACTTAAGAACAACCGCGGCATCATTGGTGTGCGACGGAATTGCCTCCACCCATCGAGAGACATATTCAACGGCAAGTAGAATATACCGGTGTCCGCACGAGGAGGGAAAAGGACCCATAAAGTCAATCCCCCAAACATCGAACAACTCAACCTGGATCACATTCATCATAGGCATCTCATGCCGCCTCGAAATATTACCCATCCGTTGGCATCGATCACATTGGTTCACAAAAATAAAGAACTCTTTATACAAGGTGGGCCAATAAAAATCACTTTGCAATACCTTTGCGGCGGTACGAGCGGACCCAAAATGGCCACCTGCCGGTGAAGAATGACACTGCTGAAGAATTCCATCCCACTCTTCTTGTGGAACACACCGTCGAATGATCATATCAGCACACCTCTTGAAGAGAAGAGGCTCGTCCCATATATAGAACTTCACATCATGGAGGAATTTCTTCTTCTGATAAAACGATAAGTCCGGAGGTAAGACCCCGGCCACCAAATAGTTGACAATGTCGGCGTACCACGGAAATTTAGCCTCAGTCATTAAGAGCTGCTCGTCTGGGAACTCCTCTTTAATATCTCTCGAAGTGTCGTCCTCTTGCCGTTTATACTCAAGCCTCATAAGTGGTCTGCCACCACATTCTCGCACCCTCGACGATCACGAATCTCAACGTCAAATTCTTGCAATAAAAGAATCCACCGAATCAAGCGTGGCTTAGAATCCTTCTTGTCAAAAAGATACTTGATTGCCGCATGGTCTGTATGCACGATCGTCTTGGTTCCAATCAAATAGGCCCGGAGCTTGTCAAATGCGTAGACAATGGCTAACATCTCCTTTTCTGTGGTAGTGTAATTTTGTTAGGCACCATCGAGAGTCTTGGTCGCATAATAAATGGCTCTGAAAAGCTTATCACGTCGTTTGGCCCAACACTGCTCCAACAGCAAAATCACTCGCATCACACATGATCTCAAACGATTGAGACCCATCGAGGACAACCAAAATAGGAGAGCTCACCAATGCCTTCTTTAGAGTCTCGAATGCCTGCAAACAATCAGCGGAAAAATTGAAAGCAATATCTTTTTCTAATAATTGGCTCAAAGGCTTCGAAATTTTTGAAAAATCACGAATAAACCGTCTATAGAAGCCGGCATGCCCAAGAAAACTCCGAATAGCCTTTTCATTCGAGGGAGGTGGAAGCTTCTCAATAGCCGAAATCTTTGCCCGGTCTACCTCCAATCCTACAGATGAAACTTTGTGGCCCAAAACAATACCGTCTCGTACCATAAAATGGCACTTCTCCCAGTTAAGGACTAAGTTAGTCTCCTCACATCTCTGCACAACTAGTGTAAGGTTATGCAGACAAGAATCAAACGAGTTACCAAAAACAGAGAAATCATTCATAAACACCTCCATAATATTCTCAATAAGACCATGAAAAATTGCCATCATGCACCGTTGGAAAGTAGTAGGAGCATTACACAAACCAAATGGCATTCTACGAAATGCAAAAGTACCGTAAAGACATGTGAAAGTGGTTTTTTCTTGGTCTTCCGGGGCGATCATAATTTGATTGTACCCCGAATAACCATCAAGAAAGCAATAATTGTCCATTCCTGCTAAATGATCCAACATTTGATCAATAAAGGGGAGGGGAAAATGATCTTTACGAGTTGCCGCATTTAATTTCCTATAGTCTATACAAATTCGCCAACCCGTTACTATCCTAGTTGCAATCAATTCCTCTTTCTCATCTCTCACTACTGTCATTCCTCCCTTTTTCGGCACCACTTGCACCGGGCTCACCCACTCACTATCAGAAATCGCAAATATAATCCCGACATCTAACCATTTAAGTACTTCTTTCCTAACAACTTCTTGCATAACAGGGTTCAAGCGTTGTTGGTTCTGCACAGATGGTCTATAATCTTCCTCTAATCTTATTTTATGCATGCAAAGTGATGGACTAATACCTTTAGGATCAGACATAGACCACCCTCAACAGTTTATCTAATTGCTCAGAAGTTAGACAAGATGATACAATTACCGGATATGTGCAATTATCACCCAAATATGCATATGTTAGATGATCAGGCAATGGTTTGAGGTCCACAATCGGTGCGTCGGGCTTTGAAGAACTTGATTTGGGTGAAATAGGGGTGGACTGTGCATCTGACACGACCTCCGACACGGGCCGTGCTTGAGGGTCCGGGTCGTGTCATCGTCCGTGCTCCAAAAGCCGTATCTGACAAGCTGACACGGGCACGTGACACGGGCCGTGTCGCCGTCCATGTCGCGTCTGACCAATCTGAGTATCTCCCAGGTTTCTGACACGGTCACCTGACACGGGCTCGTTGACCGTGTCACCGTCCGTGTCACCTCTGCAGAGCTTGTTTTCATCTCTTTTGCTCCCCTTCTTGCTCTCCAAACTCAAGATCCCTTCTGGCATGGTAACCTCCTGTGAAGAATCCAAAGAACACACGTAGTCATATAAATTAGAATCATTCAACTCAAGTATCAAGTCATTAGGAGAGCAAGATTTAATTAATCCATATTCCAACAAATCTCTACACAATGTATGATCAAGATGAGTCAAGACACATGAATCTATAGTGTCAAGAAAGTTACAATGCGCATTATTATCATGTAATTTCATAGCCTTATATATAGAGAATAACACATGCTCATCATTAACACGCAAAGTAAGTTCTCCCTTTTTGACGTCAATCAAGGCGTCTCCCGTTGCTAAAAACGGTCTCCCTAGAATCAATGGCACTTCATTATCTTCATCCATGTCCAAAACGACAAAATCCACTGGGAATATCAATTTATCAATCTTGACAAGCACATCCTCCACAATCCCCTTTGGATATATTATCGAGCGGTCCGCTAATTGCAAGGTTACCGTGGATGGCTTCACTTCTCCCAATCCCAGCTTCCTAAATATCGACAAAGGCATAAGATTAATACTTGCACCAAGATCACATAAAGCCTTACTAAAGAAAATGTTCCCCATTGTGCAAGGCACTGTAAAACTCCCGGGATCCTTCAGCTTCTGAGGTAACTTGCGTTGGAGAATCGCACTACACTTTTCGGTCAAGTTCACTGTCTCATGCTCCTCAACTCGCCTCTTCTTGGACATCACATCCTTCAAGAATTTCGCATAATTTGGCATTTGTTCTAAGGCCTCTGCAAAAGGAATATTTATATGAATTTTCTTAAAGATATCCAATAATTTAGCAAATTGAGCATCTAATTTCTTCTTTTGAAATCGTTGGGGAAAAGGTAAAATAATAGAGGGTTTATGAGAATCAGGGTTAGAAGTAGATTTAAGCTTCTCAGCCCCTTTATTCGATATGACACTCGGTTCTTCCTCTAATTCCTCACGAACTTCCTCTTCCTTTTTGCTTAGCTCTAAGCTCTCTTTCCCCGTTGGCTCGCTCTTCTCCTCTTCCGGCATCTTCGGGCCTTCGTACTCCATTCCACTCCGAAGACGGAT